CCCCAAAACCCCAAAACCCCAAAACCCCAAAACCCCAAAACCCCAAAACCCCTTATCGATGAGTTATAATTGAATGATTATATAATAATTTACTAATCTGACCTAGTATGAAACTAATTGGAATCATATTATCCCTCCTCCTTATCTCAGCGATGGCTAAGAACAAATGCAGGATTTTGAGCTTAAGCTCAGGCACAGAAAAAGTTGCATACCAAGTAGGAGCCTTAAAGGCCCTTATAGAGAACCTTGACGCAGAAGAAGTTCAATATGATGTCATCTCTGGAGTTTCCTTTGGAGCATTCAATGCAGCAATGATGGCTGTCCATGAAAAAGGGGATGAACAAGCCGCCATTGATGAGCTATATGATATCTGGAAGAATGCTAAGGACATCAAAACTTACCAGAACTGGTGGTTCGGACCTATCCAAGGCATAGTTAATCAAGGCGGCCTTTATGATAGCAAGCCATGGGATGAGTTCCTTGAGAAGACCATTGACGGGAGAGAACCAAAAAGAATGATGACTCTTGGAGCGGTTAATGTTGAAAGCGGAAAATATGTCGATTTGATCAATTTAGTAACTCCAAATAACCTCCAAGATGCAGTTAATGCAGCCACAGCTCTTAATATCTTCTTCCCTCCAGCCAATGAGTTTGGATCAGACTGGTTCGATGGTTCTGGTGTATGGCCTGTTGAAGTTATTGGTCCCATTAGAAGATGCGAACAACAAGGATTCAACAGAAAAGACATTATCGTTGATGTTTTAATGACAAATTCCTATGACCTCCCGGCAAGAAATGCTTCTAATGACTCTACCATTCCAAGTGCATTGAGATACTTTGAAATTGCTGATTTCTACGCTGGAGTTAATGGAATTGCTAGAGCTATTTCAAGCTTCAAGGATGTCACCTTCAGACATTGTGTAAATCCAGGCAAAAATCATTTACCAACGAATTGGTTCCCATTCGATTTTAACCAAAAGAAAATCGATAAGCTTCTGGAAAGGGGTTATGAAGATGCTTTGAACACTATCAATTATCCAGATATTGTAACTTGCCAGAATCTCGTCAAAACCGTTGCTGACATGAAAGCTCCACTCATGCCTAAAGAAGTGACAGATTTAATCAAGGGAGATATCAACTAGTTGGAGAAATTTTTGCAAATGAATTTCATGCCAACTCAATTTTTATTGGTTCACGAGGGGTTTTGGGGTTTTGGGGTTTTGGGGTTTTGGGGTTTTGGGG